TATCTTGCTATAGGCTCTCACTTTCAATTTACAAATTTAGCTCATAACAAAAACACATCATTGCTATCCTGCATAACAAATAATCACATGCTCAAAGTATTGTTGGAACAATCTTCTGTGTATAATAAATAAATTGAAACAAAATCAAATAAATAAAATAAATAACTTACAGAATTTATTTTATCGAACCGAATGAATATTTAAAGATCAAGTCGAGTGTGTAACACTCTGTTCTTAAGACAGATTCGTCTCGCTACGGTGCTTACGGTTAAGTGGCATCTATCTCCCAAGATATAATGATCTTCACAAATTTGTAGTAGCACTCCAAACAAATTTTTCCGGCGAACTAGAACCTTGTGTCCTATACTCTCTTTAATTTTCTTTAAAACTAGAATCCAGAATAAATAATGCAAAGGAGAAAAAGAGGACAGCAAAATGAAAATTTCAGATTGATTTTCGGATCTAGAAATCTGCTGGATTGGTCCAGATATAAATAGGACTGAAAATGTGTGAATTCAAACTTCAACAGATCTGAATTTTGAATGAACAAGTGCTGTTACTATTCAAACAGATCTGCAATTGCTGCAGTTAAGAAAACTGTCCAGATTTTTGAATCTAAATTTGTCCGGATTTTAACAGATTGAAAAAAAAGTTTGGGTTGAAAAATCTGTTGTGGAATTCGGATCTGTAAAGGTAAAATATGGACAAAAAATTTGAATTCAAATTCAAATTACATTGGCACAAAATTTAAATTAATTTTTCCCGCAAGAATTTTGGAGAAAAATTAAATAAATTTTGTCCAAAAAATTAATATTAAAACCGACCCGACCCACAATCGGCACGGATGGCGGTGGCACGCGGTGGTGGTTTGGGTTAAGGTTCAATTTGTTCATAACTTCTCCCTTTTACAAACTTGGGGTGCCTCTTGAGGTCCAACCCAACTATTGCAATCTAGAGCTTATATACCCAGCAAAACTCTCTTAAAGTTTCAATGTGGGACAACCCATTTCAAGGAAACCCACATTTAATTCTTTAAATGTCCATTCCATGAACCCGAAAACGACATCAAATTCTCATTCACTCATAAATGGTTTTGACGAATCGTCTTCACCATGTAACTTACCATGCGGTAAGGAACACATTATCTCTTCGGACTCACCCAAAAAGACGTTTGGGGCCTACTCAATTTTGAACTCAAAGTTGGCTCAAAATAAGTCTTATAAAACCAATTTTTTCAACAAGTATAACTGAAAATCTCCAATCTAATATATATATCTATATATATATAGAACTGAAATTGGTTGACTCTTGACCAATTACATATTATCAAATCCTTTTTATTTTGGCCACAAAATATTGGAATAAAATATTTTATTTAATTTTTCTCTAATAAATGGAAGCATAAATTGGTACTTGCCCAAAACCACATCTAGAAGACGTCCTACCAATACCATATTGATGGTGTTTCCTTCATGGATTTTTTTTGTAAGTTGCACCAAAATCATGCAAGGAGATGACTTTTTTGTGGTCAAGGTTCGATGATTTGGGTTGTTGTTTGGTGAAATTTTTTAAGTTGTTTATAATATTTTTTTAATTTGAAAATAATGTTTGGTACAACTTAAATTTATAATTTAAAAAGTAAAAATAATTTTAAAAACGATTTATCTAAAAATTGAAAAATGAGTCTTTTTAATTTTTGCTTTTTATAAAAAAATTTAACTTAAAAGAAATTGAACCAAACATGCACCTTTTATGATCACGTGAGATGAATTGGAAACGTCCCATTTGTTATGAGTTGTCTTGTACTCCAATAATTTAAGAATAATGCTATATGTATTAATTAATGTATAAATTAATATACTAACACATGATGTGGTACAATTTTAAAAATTTTGAGTATTTGTAATTTGCTTAATAGGTGAGATTAGTAATAATGACATAACACTAGTTGGTATATTAATTAGAACATGTAATATTACTGATAATTTAATCCTTAATTTGACAAGTCATTATAGTTGGTTTGAAAGCATTATAAATTAACTTATTTAGTTTATCTACTTAAAATAATTAATTGTGTTTGTAATTTTAAAAATTTATTTAGCCTAAAAAATGAGGTTTTTTAAAGTTATAATTTGTAACTTTTTTCAGCTTATTTGAAATCTTTAAATGAAATCGGAGTGCATGTTGTGCGTGAGTCACTATTGTGTGCCTAATTTGAAATGTTTACTTTTAGGATACATAGCGTAGAATATATTTATAAAAAATTAAATTAATCGGATATTAATAATTTTTTTATCAAAATATATATGTATAAAAAAATGAATGGCAATTATTGTTTTAAATATAAAATTGAATACATATAAAATTTGATAAAAAAATTAATGATATCTGATTGATATTATTTTTTTATAAATATATTTTATATAATATTATTTTAAAAAATAAACGATTCAGATCATCGAAATGAGATTAAAATGAGATTCAACACTTGCACAACAATAGTGACTTTCACGCACAACCGCTCCAAATCCCTCTTAAATATGTATGGACGTAAAATCCACATCTCTTTGTCGCAATTATAGCATTTAAGAGTGGAAAATGCTATGGTATAGACTTTTATATATACAAGTTATGATATTTGTGTCATTAAATGCCCCAAAAGATGAAAGACCCCAAAAATCGTAGTTAGGAACATGTGGTACTTTATAATAAAAGACTTCAAAAATTGTAATTAGGAAACATATGTTATACACCACAAAAGATCTCAAAAAGTCATGACTAAGGGGGCATGTGATACTATATAATTTCCCTTTGAGAGTATTATTGCAAATATATATAACAAAAAGTTCTGTTTGGGAAGAGATAGATTGGGTTTTTTTAGCTATTTTATCTACAAAAAACAAATTAGACTATTTTAGTCATAAAAAATAAAACATCACATTCAACCCATAACCATTACACTCTTCTCTCACAAAAAAAAGTCAAAAAGTCAAAAAGCTCTTCCCAAATCAAGCTTTTTAGTCCAGGTTAAAATAGTCAAAAAAAGCCAAAAAATTAAAAAGTCAACTCACTTCCTAAACCAACCCTAAACATGCTCAACTTTTTCACAAATTATTAGAAGGAAAATTTTAGAGTGGAGAATTTTATTACGTACACTTCATATAATATATAGAAAATTTTTATCAACAATGATAGAGAGTTCTAATTTTAGAATTCTAAAGAGAACTCTAATGACGTGACGAGAGAAAAAAAAAACAAAAACAAAAACAAAACAAAACAAAAACATAGACACACACATCACATCTCACGTGAGCCTGACTTCTTGCCACATCACTAAAACTCTCTTTAAAGCTCAAAATTAGAGCTCTCAATCTTTATTCAAATTTTATAGTGGAGAATTTTATTACGTACACTTCATATAATATGCACTTTTAATTACGTTATTTTTTTAGTTATGCTTAATTTTTTTCCTGTAGTCATAATATTATTTTGAGATTTTAGTTATGACTTTTTTATGTTTTGTTACGACTTTTTATATTTTTTTTAGTTATGACTCAGAAAATATAAAATTATATTATTTTTTTTGTGTGGTTATAAAGTGCATATGATACATACTATTTTTTCTTCTATAATACACTTATTTTGATATACCCTAGATATAATATCTGTGATATGGTTATGATATATTGTGTTGTTAGTTATGATTTATTATGGTGTTAGTTATTATTATTATTTTAGTTATGATCTAAAATGTCTTTAGTTATATGTGTTTAGTTATAACTCATTATTCTTTTTTTAGTAATGACTGAAAAATATTTAATTATGACATTTGTAATAATCAATCTCACAAATATCATAATTATATGATACACATCCAAAAATTAAAAAAAATGTATATGGTAATCCTAATTAACTATCCAAACATATTTAAAACTTATTTTAAATTTTTTAAATTAACAATCTAAAAAGTTATAATTATTAAAATTATGGAAAAATTGATGAAAAGTCCATTCCAAAATGATATGAGGTATTAGATTCAATGTAAAATCTTATTTTATGATAAGGACACAGGGGAAAAGGTTGCCGACACAAAAAAATTGAAGGGAAAAGTTGCCGACAGTGACCGACAACAACAGATGGTGATGGTGAAATAGAGAAATGTGTGATATTCAACAAATAAATTGTTAAATGAGTGACATGTGTCACATTTCAACAGATAGTTAGTTTGGTGAATTTCAATAGATAGACAGATATGTTAATTACAACAACTGAACAAATAGATTGATTTCAACAAATAGTTATTTTTTTAAACAAATTGTGTCATTTTAATTAAAAAAGATTAGAACTTTGGCCTAATAACTCACAAAATTCAGAAATAGCCCTAAAATTAACTTATGAGTAATAGTAAACAGGTTTGTGTAGATAATTAGTAAAAGAGAAAGATTATGATACACACTCTGCAAAAGGTGTATACCATACATACTTTATAATTATAAAAAAAAAAGAAGACATAATTTTATATTTTTTGAGTCATAATTAAAAAAAAAATCATAACCAAAACACAAATGGTGCATAATTATAAGAAAAATGTTTGGGAGTACTAAAAATGGAACACTAATGATGTGGCAGTGGGACCTGTCCACTTTCTATGCCTTGTTTTTTTTTTTGGTCATTCTCAATGCATTAGTGCTATTAGTGATGTATTTTTTAGTGGTCTAAATCATTGTTGTAATTATAAATCTGAAAATAATATAATTAAAAAATTATAATAACTAAAAAGAAAAAAAAATAAAGAAAAAAAAGGGGTTAACTAAAGAGCCATATAGCATGGAATCTATAGGATGGAATCTCCTTAAAAATGTCAAATAGATGATTCATCGAACTTGGGTCACGTATACCCAATTTGAATTTTGCACTCAAAAACCACATTAAAATATACATTCTGAAATGGCATCCAAACATTGCCTTATTTGGTTGGTTAAACTACAAGAAGCAAAACCCCAACGAAAAAACAAAAAAATTCAATTAGCTTCGTTCGATCTGGTTCACACAAACACACCGATATTTACACATTCCTAACACAGAGAGCGAGAGAGAGAACACCTTTATTTCATGGCGTTTACTTTGATTTTCAACTGATGTAGCACAAAAATCTATATGTATATACCTATATATATAGAATTGCATACTCGAAAATCACACACTCTATATCTCTGTGTTTCTCTCTTCAATGGCAGATGTTCTTCGACTATCTTTCAATTCGCTTTCTTCGGTATTAACCTCCTTCTCGTCGTCCTTGAATTCTCTTCAAACGGGCGTCCCGCCCAATCAGAAGTCGTATAAGAGGATTTTATCTGCTTCCGATTCTTCTACTTCTGGAATTGTTGCTCGCTTTGCGTTCAGACCCACCAAGCAATTCGATTCTTTCAAGGTAAAAACGTCATCTTTTTCGTACTCTGTTTTTGGTTACTGTGAACGCACTTCGAAAATTTTAATTCGACTGTTTATTTTCGCTTATTATTAAACGAAACAAACTGAAATCAACTGAGCAAAGTGCTTGTTTTGACATGGTTGCGTAGAAAATTCATCCTTTTATTTATTTATTTATATTTTCCAGGCAACTAAACATGTTTAGAATTTAGGGTTTCCCTAGGGGGGTGAAACTGAGACGACCCATATGTCAGAATTGTTTGATTATGGATATTAGATTGCAGCTATGGTTTGGAATTTGGGTTGAAAGTTGGAAGATTGTTTGAAATGCTTAAAGAAATAGAAAACAATAATTAAAAACACAGAATTCTATGGGAAATAGTCCACGCAATCATTGAGGGACTAATCTGTTTATACATAATGCTTGAGTATACAATTCACAGTAGGATCTATCTAAATATGGTAACTTTGTACAGAGAAGCAAAGAATCATAAAATATCTACATGTAGAAGGAATTATTCAATTATGGAGAAACCCTTTGCTGAATTATTGCTGCATTGTTCCTGTGACTTCAACGTTTCCATTTGTGCAATTGCATGCAATAGATAATCTATTGCATGTTCCACAGGATATACCATGCTCTTGCACTACACTTGGATGTGGGTCTTGATTAAGTTCATTAATGCTTGCAGTATGTGCTACATACAATCTGATTTCTTTGATTTTAATGAATTTACACTAGATTACCTACACTTTTATCACTAAATATACATTAAAAAGGGAATGAAATTGATTTTGCATCCATCATGCTCTCCCCAGACATGTGAGAACAACGGCAGTCATTTTTGCCCTTTTTGTGGTCATTTTAATCTCTTCCACGCCCTCGCTCTCATGTATTTGGTTCCACTCATGTGAGAACGACAGCGGTGGAAGAGGCTATAATGGCTGTTGAACTATCAGCTCCAAACTGTAATCTTTGACTCATTTGGTTGAGTGCTTTATGTCAACATCTACCATTGTTGTGGCGTATCTAGGACTTTCACAAGAAATGGATGTCTAGTAATAATGCTAAATTGACTGACACTGGTTGTGAAGGTTGTGAAGAAAAAATTATAAGCTTTCAATTTATTTTGTTCTTCTAATTCTTTCTCTTTGTTTTGGTGTTGAAATTTGATTTCTCGGTTTAGCAAAAGTGGTTCAGTAATCAGTCCTTAAAGCTCTTTTTTTAGAGTTTTGAGTGGAGGATGTGATTGAATTTCAACAATTAGGTTTTTCCAGTAAATTTTGAAAGAACATGAATATTTGCTTGCTTAGTTTTTTTTTTTGGGTTACATTTTATTTTTACTTAATTATGATTCCAAATTTAGTTTTCAGTACTTTGTTTATTTTAGTAAATTTCTCTTTCTTGTTTCTCTATGTTAAATATAGTAACTATATATTTTGTCTATTAGACATACCATATTATATTTATTACCATACTTAAGTTTCTCTTCTCCTATATAAAGGAGTCTTATATACCAGTGTTTTAAAAGGTGCACCTACGCGCGCGCTTAGGCTCGAGGCGCACCTGAGGCGCCTTAGACAGCCTGAGGTGAGGCGTAGTAGGAAAGGTGTATATGAGGCGATTGAGGCACGCTCCTTTGGCTTAGGCGCGAGGCACACGCCTATTGCGCTTCATTTAAATTTTTGCTGCATCCTTATTCTTTGTGTGTGTAACTATATGGAATTACAACCTCTTTAATATAAAATGTAAACACATCCTTTGAGTATCAATTTTCATATCAAAAAAAGCTCTAGGCATTAAGCAAAAGCTCTGGAATTGCAAGATGGATATATGGCTTTGGGATTCTTTTCAATATAGTAAATTACAACAGTTTCGGGCCAATGATTGAAGCTATCACACAATTTGATCCGGATTTAAAATTAAAACCACTAAGATATTATATGGTGTGAGTTCCTTATCTAAAAAAAGAAATGAATCACGTTAATAAATTGATAAAGAAAGATAAATAGTATAGGACAAAGTAGATTGAATGTTATTTTTGAGAAATTTTTGAAACGTTGAATTTTATTTTTTATGATTTTTGGAATATTGAATGTCGTTAATATTTGTTTTATGTTAAAAACTTCTCCTATATTAATATTTTAGTTATCTTCAATAACTTGCGCCTCACGCTTAAGCTCCAGGAGACGTTAGTGCCTCAATGCGCCTAGAGCTTTTTGAAACATTGTTGTATACATTGCTACAACATTCAAAATAATATTCTCCTTCTCTCTCTTAAATATTGTAATATGGTATCAGAGCTATAGTAATGCTAAATTGACTGACACTGCTTGGGAAGAAAAAAAAAATATAAGCTTTTAATTTCTTTTGTTCTTCTAGTTCTCTCTCTTTGTTTTGGTGTTGAAATTTGACTTCTTGTTTTAGCAAAAGTGGTTCAGCAATCAGTCCTTAATGCCATTTTTTGAGAGTTTTGAGTGGAGGATGTGATTGAATTTCAACAATAATTAGGTTTTCCTGGTAAATTTTTAAAGAACTGTGAATATTTTCTTGCTTAGTTTTTTTTTTTTTTTTGGTTACATTTTATTTGACTTAATTATGATTGTAAATTTAGTTTTCTGTATTTTTTTTCTTTTACTAAATTTCTCCTTCCTGTTTCTCTTTATTAAATATAGTAACTATATATTCTGTCTATCAGATATACCATATTATACTCATGGGAGATTTGGTGATAGATCCCTCACTGTCTAATTTGTCTTTTAAAAGGACAAGAATTATATAGGTACTTTCAATACCCCTAATATTTTAAAACTTGTTTCTTTTACTATATTACCCTCATATCTATCAGCTCTCCTATTAAGCCATCCTCACAATGTATTTCAGAGTAAAGTTTACTATGATTCAAAGTAAATTTTTATATCGTTAAGCAAATCAACATGTTTTTAATCAGAGTAAAATTTTATTTTGAATCATAGTAAACTTTACTCTGAATCATAGTAAACTTTACTCTGATTCAAAGTAAAATTTTATTATGAATCAGAGTAAAGTTTATTATGATTCAAACAAAGTATAGCGAACCAGAGTAAAATCATAAGTGCCAGTAAAAACTATTAGATTAATTAAAGAACCAGAGTAAAATCATTATAGCAAACCAGAGTAAAATTTTACTCTGGTTCTTAATAATTCGTTCAATCACTATTAGATTAATTTTTACTCTGCTAAATAATTTTACAATTTATTTGAAAAAACAATGTTTTAAATGAAATATATATGAACCTGTTTAGTACCTTAAAATCGTAAGAATCTCAAATGAATTGCTGTTAAACGAAAAAAGCAAAAATCGATCTTCGCCATCTCAAAGAATCTCTCTTACTTCTCACAAATCGTTTCCAGTTATTGAATCATTGTCCAGAGTTTCATATGAGCTGTAGCATATAAAAATATATGTGTACAAGAATATTTACGTGACTGCCAATAGAAGGAGGGTAAAATAGCCCATAAAATTGTAGTCTTATTAGAATATGGACTTTATGCATGAAAGACATTGACCGGAGGGGCTTTATGCATTAAAGATTTAAAACTTGGACTTTTAGAAGGGAGCTGTTAGTGTGAAGGGCTTATGGCCAATTTTCCCTATATTCATTACTACACTTAAGTTTCTCTCCTCCTATATAAAGGAGTCTTGTATATATTGTTACAACATTCAATATAGTATTCTCTTTCTCTCTCTTAGATATTGTAACATAATATCAGAGCTATAAGATTCGACCTATTTTTCTGGTTTACCAATGGGTAGCCGGTGGGCAACCATGCCTTCATTGCCCGCTGGTGTTTCAAGACACACTTTTGTTTTTTGTCTCAATTTATAGCTCCAACTCTTTCGTCTCCACTACCTACTCCGGTAGCCTACTACTTTGTGACCACCTACAACTTCGGTCACTTTGCCATATGTTTTCAGTGGCCCTTGCTTTATATCATATCGTTTTTCTCATCGACTTTGCTACCACTTTGCCTTTGTTCAATCACATGGGCTAGTAAATTTTTTTTTTTTCAATTACCAGAGATTTGTTTCCCTTTTGTCTACTTCTCCATCTTTTCAAACCCAATTCTTCTCTCTTACAAGTCATCTTCCACTTCACAATATATATTAAAAAAAATCCAATATTTGTTTTGTTTTATTTTATTATTATTATTTTAATCATGTTCCCCTTTCAGCCTTGTTCCCCACTGCCCTGCCATGACATCTCTCTACAATCAACAAATTTTCAATTCACCTACTCTCACTGCCTCTCTCTCTATAGAAATATATATATATATATATATTTTGTATGATAATTTTTTTTTTTATATAATCTCATCACATTGGTTTATTCCTACCCCAACTCATTTTGTTTGATCTCTACCATATTTTATTATTTTTACTTGCAATCCATTTTTTTTTTGTGCTTCCACTCTCTTAGTTCTCTCTTTCAACCTCAAAATAAGTTTTTATCTTAAAACCTATTTGAGTTTGAGGGGGTAATATACCTATATCATGGTAAGTATGGTGATATATCATGCGAACCACCCAAGCTGCCCTCTTTGGTACACCACTTAAGTCGTCTCTTGGTGTACCACCCAAGCTGCCCTCTTTGGCGCAACACCAAAGCCGCCCCCTTGGCACACCACCCAAGCCGCCCTCCTTGGCGCACTCCCTAAGTCGCCTCCTTGGCGCACTCCCTAAACCCTCCCCTCCCCGGGCGCATTTTTTGTTCCTTTTCAAGCCGCCTCCTGATGCACAAGGTTTCTTTCCAAATCGCCCCCTGGCGCACATGGTTTCTTTCCATGCTGCCCCCTAGCGCACTCTTTCATCTGTTGCCATCACCGTTCAACACCACATGATAAGTTACAATAACCAAAAGCTAACCTCCTAGAATTTGAGTTGAAAGTTGGAAGAAATGCTAACCAAAAGCTAACCACCACATTATTATTTAAACAAATTAGATTGTTTGAAATGCTTAAAGAAATAGAAAACAATAATAAAATGAAACAGAATTCTATGGGAAATAGTCCACACAATCATTGAGGGACTAATTTGTTTAAATAATAATGCTTGAGTATACAATTCATAGTAGGATCTATTTAAGTATGGTAACTTTGTACAGAGAAGCAAAGAATTGTAAAATATCTACATGTAGAAGGAATTATTTATTCAATTATGGAGAAACTCTTTGCTGAATTATTGCTGCATTGTTCCTCTGACTTCAACGTTTCCATTTGTGCAATTGCATGCAATAGATAATCTATTGCATGTTCCATAGTATATACCATGCTCTTGTACTACACTTGGATGTGAGTCTTGATTAAGTTCATGAATGCTTGCATTATGTGCTACATACATCTGATTTCTTTGATTTTAATGAATTTACACTAGATTACCTACACTTTTATTACTTAATATATAGTAAAAAGGGAATGAAATTGATTTTGCATCCATCATGCTCTCGCCAGACATGTGAGAACGATGGCAGTCATTTTACACTAGGTCATGCCCTTTTTTCAGTCATTTTAATCTCTTCCATGCCCTCACTCTCACGTATTTGGGTCCACTCATGTGAGAACGACGGTGGTGGAAGAGGAGTATAATCGCTATTGAGCTATCAGCTCCAAACTGTAATCTTTGACTCATTTGGTCGAATGCTTTATGTCAACATCTACCATTATTGTGGCTTATCTGGGACTTTCACAAGAAATGGGTGTCCAACTAAGAAGCATGGACACAGACACGACACAGACATGGACACGCAGACACGCAAATTTTCAAAAAATAGGGGACAGGACACGCTAGGGACACGCTCAAAATATATAATTGTATTTATTTAGGGAAAATTATAATTTAACCCCTTGTGGTTTACCTTAAAAACACGGAATCCCCTTATACTTTCATTTGTAACACTTAAACCCCTAGACTTTATATCATGCTGTAATTTTTGACAGACGTAACAGAAATGCACAAAACGACGTCGTCTTGTGCACCGCCTGATAAAAAATAAAATAAAATAAAAGAAAAAACAGAAGAGAGAGAGAGAGAGATGGACAAACACTCTTCGATTGAATAAACACTCTTTGATTGATCGGTGTTGCAAAGATCCATAACAATGGTCTCTTCCAACTCACCAACTCCACAACAATTGTCTGGAAGGCTTTCATGTCCCAGTTTTGTGGTTCGACTGAAGGTGCGCATCTCTCTCTAGTTCTAGAGAGAGAAAAATGATGTTAAAAGGTGTGGTCTTTGGGTTGGTGCTCTGGCAGTCTTTTCTGTGGGTCTTGGTAGCTCTTCGGCCAGTTGGTGTTTCGTGTTTCGGCTGGGTTGTAGAACAGCCTTGGCAATTCTGTGAGTGCTCTGTTGGTCTGGGTTGTGTCGTCGGTGGTCAGTTTGTTGTCGGCAGGTTCTCTTTGTGATATGGCAGGTTGGCCGGTGGTGCTTCTCTGGTTTTTTGTTGTTTCTCTGGTGCTTCTCTGGGCTGTTTTTTTGTGGTTCAGAGAATATGGAGAGGTCCAGTGGTGCTGTTGAGAGGTGATTCAAGCTCATGGCTATGGTATCGCCGTCCATGGTAGTGGTCCATGGTAACGCTATCATAGCTGTGGGTTTTTGCTCGTGAGTATCTCAGTGTTGAGTATTCCCAAGTATGCTCTGTTTTTTGAGTTGTTTTCAATATCTGGGTTGGTGGATTGCTCCCAAGCAAACATGGCTTGGCCTTCACGATTTCACCCACCAAGAAGCTTCATCGCCCACCAAGAAGCTTCAGGGAGCTCTTCTAAGCCAGTATTTGGGTCTTCTCAATGCCAATATACATATATATTTTGGTTGGGTCTGGAGGTGTTTGCAGGTGAGGAGGCATCTCACAACTTACCAAGATAGTGTTTTTTGTGATTTTGGGGCATTGTCGGGCTGATTTTTCTTGTTGGATTTTGTTGGGTTTTTGGTTTTGGCCATTAGAGGGAAAGGGAGAGCGTTTCTCTCTCTCTCTCTCTTTCCTGTTTTTTCTTTTTTTCTTTTATTTTTTATCAGGTGGTGCACAAAACGACGTCGTTTGTGCATTTCTGTTACGTCTGTTAAAAATTACAACATGGTATAAAGTCTAGGGGTTTAAGTGTTATAAATGAAAGTACAAGGGGGTTCCGTGTTTTTAGGGTAAACCACAAGGGGTTAAATTATAATTTACCCATTTATTTATTATGCCATATGTTAAAATTTACCATCACCTACCACCACCTACTCCTTACCTACTACACTCACCCTCTCCTATATAATGAGCCACCCACCATTTGTAATATACACAACAAATATATCAATAAACATACATCAATCAATAATACAATCATTTCTCTTTATACATTAAATTTCTACACCATAAAATTTTAAAAAAAATTGAGAAGTAATAATAAATACAAAATAACATTAATAAATACTTTAAAATATATATACGGCTATTCATCAATTTCAACACTTTACCTAATAAATAAATTGAGCAATTTCAAGAAATTTATTTTTTCTTCAAATAAAATTAATTTGCTCTATGCATGTTAGGACCAAAGATGAATATTAAAAAATAGAGGGGTTACCAAATTTTTATTCTTATCCAATACCTGACCTCATAAAAGGGGTTCATAAAATATATAATTAAAGAGAGAAGAAGAAAAGAGAGAAAGAAACGGAGGAGAGAGTAAGAGACAACAAAACAGAGTTTAAAGGAAAACAAAGAAAAGAAGAAGGCAACCAAACAGAGGGATAAGAATGAAGACGACAAGACGAAGAAGAAGAGAGAGAGAGAGAGAGAAACCTACCTGCGAATCTGCGATTGCGTCAATAGGGACCTTCAAAAGCTTTGCCAGCTTCGCCTAGGGTTTATAGGTGAGCAACTTCTTCTCCCTCTTTCTCTCGCTCCCCCCTCACAGTGTCCCCCAAGTGTCTATGAGCGTGTCCGCAAAGTGTTTGACTGGAAAAAAATCCAAAAAAAATTTGGGACACGTTAGAGAGAGTGTTCGACACGTGTCCATCGCGTGTCCGACATGTGTCGGACACCCGTACATTGATGCCGGAGAGGTGTCCGTGCTTCATAGGTGTTCAGTAATAATGCTAAATTGACTGACACTGCTTGGGAAGAAAAAATTTTAAGCTTTTAATTTTTTTTGTTCTTGAAATTCGATTTCTTGATTTAGCAAAAGTGGTTCAGTTATCAGTCCTTAAAGCCCTTTTTTGAGAGTTTGAAGTGGAGGATGTGATTGAATTTCAACAATAATTAGGTTTTCCTGGTAAATTTTTAACGAACCATGAATATTTGCTTGCTTATTTTTATTTTTATTTTTATTTTTTGGTTACATTTTACTTAGACTTAATTATGATTCTAAATTTAGTTTTCAATATTTTGTTTCTTTTAGTAAATTTCTCTTTTTCTTCTTCTCTAAATTCTATTTTGTAGATGTTGGTTTCTACTTCATGTGATTGGCATCATAAAGACTTAGTTGTAGATTTGGTCTTGACCAAACTACTAGTTTTTAAGTTTTACTTGTTGATTTATCTTTAATTTTTGTCAAATTCTGTTGTATTGTGGAATGCTTTACACATTATGGAGATCCATACTGAGGAGTTGGTTGAGCGGTAAAGACTTGAGGTCATAAGATCTAAGGTCTCGAGTTCGAGTCACCCCAAGGGGCCACTGGAGGTTTACCCGGTCATTAAGTTCAGGACCTTGAGATTAGTCAAGGTATGCGCAAGCTAGCCTAGACACCCAGTTATCAAAAAAAGAATTATGAATGTCCATATTGTCATTTCACAAAAGGTTGTCAAGTGAAGTCAAAATCTCAACTTTGATGGAGAGGCCAGAACAAGATGGCTTTGAATTAGAAAATGCATTACCTCATTAGTACTGAACTCCTAAAAAAGTACTAGTTTGAAAATCATTGTGAACTTAGATTTGGACCTGAAAGCTAGAAGTGTTTAACACCTGTTTGCAACAAGAATAAAAATCCCAACAAGAGGACAACTGAGAAACTCACTCGAATTATGTGTTTATGCTTAGTCAAGACACTTGGTAATGATACATCAAATATATTTCAGAGTTCGTTTCAAACATGCATGTCCAACACCAATTATTTATATTCTTCTTGTCACATCTAGGAGGTACATGAGCATGTCTGGATTCTGGACTTCATTTGGGCCTTCAAAGAAGTTTCTATATTACCTCAAACATGTTTCATTCTTCAATCTGCTTCTCGCATTCTACCTAATAATTAGTTAATTGTTACTGCTTTTATCTAGTACTTCTGTTCTCTTAGGTTTTGTGTATTATGAATTGCTATCATTAGACCCAGGCTACTGTAGCCCAAGTGATATTTGAGAGTGCACTTAAGTGCCAGTGCGAGGTTTCAAGTTCGAGTGTATGGAGAGGCATCAATTGTAATTTAACTATTAACTTGCTAACGTCCTACCTTGTAAACCATATTTTCACTTTCACTCATTTACAAGATTTTTGGGTAAATATTCAAATTCCAAAAAATATTATCTGTAGCCCAAGGGCATCCAACCTTGGTCCTGGGTGAAAATTAGGGGTTTAAGTCCCCTAAAGGTGGTTAAAAATAAACTAAAATAGAAAAAAATAAAATAAAAAATGAAATTGCATGAATTAACATAGAAATCTTGTGCATGATGTGATTCTAAAAATTTATCACACTAGTTTTTGTATTATAGACAATAATTTGAGAATCTTGTTTTTTTAAAGTTTCATTTGTTTTTCTGTTGGATGTTCACTTCAGGTACATGCAACTGTTGCTGAAACTGACCCGCCAAAATGGTGGGAAAGAAATGCAGGACCAAATATGATTGACATTCATTCTACACAGGATTTCTTGAGTGCTTTAAGTCAGGCCGGAGAAAGACTAGTTATTGTTGAATTTTATGGAACTTGGTGTGCTTCTTGCCGAGCACTATTTCCCAAGGTAACTTCTGTTACATGTGATTTGTCCATGATCTTAGGACTTCTCATAAACATCTTTTGTATTCGTTGGCAAATTTGAGCATTTAATACCTCAAAATTTTCAGCTTTGAGCAACTTTCAAATGTTTTCTCTATTAAAAAAGGAAAACAGTTCCGTATATTTTCGTGAGAAAATATTAAATTCTCAATCTGATTTAACCATTGACATATCAGATGGCAATGCACATTATAAAGGACACATTTCATTATTTTAGGATTGATGGTGCAATGAGAAAATCTTTGTTTGGTGCTGAGTTTCAGTTTTTCTCTTAGCCTGTGTCATGAGGAAACTCCAATTTAATTGTTTTTGGTGTCTCAGATATTTGATGCTAAGGTGGCATGAGGGGTTTTGCTCATGCTATGAGAACCTTGAAAGGCCGCGATAATGAGTTGATCATTCAGATTGAGTGTATGTCTGTAGGAAAGTTGAAAACTAAGAAGAGGCATTTGGATAGTAAATTTTTTTGTTTTTAACGTGTTTTTTTATGGAAAATGTTTTTTACGCTAACTAACCACCATGGCTTGTCCATTGGTCCATCACGAATGTCTTCACATGAAAGTATCAATCTGTGTTATAATGCCAAGCTAGAAGCATCGGAGTGATCCAAATTTCATGGGATGTTTAAAATAGCTGAAGGATATAGATTGTGTTCAGTAGGTGAAGTGGAGGTGGTAGTGGTGTAGTGGGTTTAGTGGAGTAGGTGAGGTGGTAGTGGTGTAGTGGGTTAGGTTTAGTGGAGTAGGTTTAAGTGGGTGAAGTAGGTGGAAAGTAGGTGGATTTTAACAAAATTTCATGGGATGTTTAAAATAGCTGAAGGATATAGATTGTGTTCTATTTGTCTTCTTGTTTCTGAAATTGGTTTTTGGTATTTTGATATTATTGGGTTTGTCAGCTCTGCAGAACTGCCCAAGAGCACCCTGAAATTTTGTTCCTGAAAGTCAATTTTGACGAAAATAAACCGATGTGCAAAAGCTTGAATGTGAAGGTGCTTCCTTACTTCCACTTCTATCGTGGAGCGGATGGGCAGCTGGACTCTTTTTCTTGTTCACTTGCTAAGGTGGGTACCTCTTCCTTATTTCCACTTCATTACTTCGTTGTTTACCCATATCGTAAAAAAAATCAGGCGTAAAAAATCTCAAAAGTTGACAAAACAGAAACTTCAAAATTTGTTGGGAGTTGTTTTTGACAATCAACCGAAGCATTTGTTTGATATGAATGCTATCTTGTCATTGGGAGTTAGATTTTTCAATTCCTTTCCATTTTTTTTTTTTTTTTTTTGAGGGCCCTTTCTTGATTGGATAATAAAATAAAAATGAGATTAGAGACAGAATTTTCTACCGGCTACTACTCCCAATGGGAATGGGACCCATTTCTACCGTGAGTAGGAAGTAGAAAATGCTGTAGAAAATGGTGTGTTCATAGCTGGAATCATTAAATAAAGAAGCGAGCAAAAACAAAGAACTTTTTAGCACTGTGAAATCGTGACATATTTTTACCTATTTCACAGAAGTGTTTATGTTAAACTTCAAACGTCTGATGAAAAATAAAATCTCTGGTGGTACTTGCATACATGGACTATTCTAAATATATCAAGAACACGTGTCGGGTATAAGATATGCGTCTGACATGTATAGTTTGACATTCACCTAGCAAGCATATTTAATAATTCAAGTTTATAATAATATATATAAAACTTCCTTTTTATGTCTAGCTGTTCTATGGCACCTTATAAATAACCATTTTATCCTAGAAAATAAAAGTACATTAAGTTATACGAAATTTTTTCTGTCGCCGTGCCTTTGTAAATGAGAATTAGATGATAAATTTTCAAAAAAAAAATTTTGGGATAGAGTTTAGAATTTTTTTTGCTTTATTTGGTTGTATATTTTGAAAATAGCTTTGGAGTTTGTGAGTTTGGGATGATTTAATATTTTATTATAGTTGAGTAGATTTGTATGAGAGAAAAAGTGATTAAGAAGGAGAGAGGAGAGAAAAAATGATTGATTGATGTGTAGGAGAGTGAGTGACTTTGGAAATTTTTTTCAAAAATTTGAACCAAACAAAATTTTGAATTTTTTTTTCAAAAATTGTATTTTGAGTTACAAACCAAACAAGCCCATAAATGTTTAAAACATGGAGGGAATTTGACAACATGTGGAAATTGGGCATGGAAGATGGGAAACAATCTTCTTCTAGTGAAATGCATACTGGTAGAGCTTAGAGGCATGCTTGGAAATTTCTTTTCAATTGAAGAATCGCCCTATTCTATAGCCAACATTGTCTGGTACTTCTAAATACTGTATAACAGTTTCAGAAAATAAAAGATGCTATTCAAGCGCACAACACTGCTCGCTGCAGCATTGGTCCGCCTAAGGGTGTCGGAGATCTTAACCTTGAAGCTTTATCTGCTCCAAATGAAGCAGGGTCTTCTGCAACATAGCATTTATCTAGATTTAGCCAAGTGAACCATCATTGTGAGCTGTCTAATTCTATTTTTGTAAATTTACATTTTTTTTTTCTTTATATAAGAATAGTAACCAGAGGACATTCGCTGACTGCTCATTTTTTTGTCATCATGTTTTGGCTTGTGATGGAGTATTCTTAAACTCTCAGAATTCTGTGAAAATGAAATTCAAGGCTGTCTATTTAATGATACTTTTTCTCTTTTCTTGCTCTTATATTGTCTCATTGAAATGCTTTTGCTGCTCTTGCAAGTTGTAAGTAATTGTCTCATTGAAATGGCTACAAAGTTAAGCAAATGTTCTTCAAGTACTTTGAAATAAATTAAAGATTAATTGAAATTAATATGAAATCATTTTTTATTTGAAGTACATTTCATCAACAAATTTATACTCACTCACTTTTATGAGATTGTCGATTGTAACAGTAACACGATAATAAGAGAGTTGTCATGCAGTCTTCACACAATGTAACTGCTATTTTTTATGCTACTGCAGCATTGAGTTTAAGGTTTGGAAGATAGATTACTTCTATTCGATAAGCGTATTGTTGGTGATAATTATAAATAAAATATTAGAACATACAAAAAATAAAAATTATAATAATTATTGAAAGGGTTGAGGTGTGAAAAATTCGCTCTTTTAAAGAGATTCAAGCCATCTGAGATTAGGTAAAGTCTCATACTGGTGTAACAGAAAAAATCTTGACTTATCCTCACATGATACAACAGTTCGACTAAGTCGTATGGTTCACTAATATTGCACAATTGGTTGAACTCAAAGTTTCATCACATAAATCCTTTTTTATTTGCCTGATAATCTCATACAAACATAATAAAACAACAAACACTTCTTCTATATTCTAAGATAAGAGATTAGCTCAATTTATAGGAGAAGAAAACTTGGTGGTCAAGTTTCTTAGAGGATTCTTGGAAGCAAAGAAAACTTGGTGGGCAAGTTGCTTGGAGGATTCTTGGAGGAAAAGTATAGGAGAGGAAACTTGGTCACCAAGAAAAGGGATTAACTTGGAGAGAAAGAGAAGATTTGACTTAAAGGCAAAGACTCGGAAAGAAAGAAAGGTAGCTTGAAGAATAAGTATACAATATAATTTATAACACATTATAATATTAAAATAACTGCTAACACGTATAAAAATTGAGTTTCAGAGTTTGAGGTTTGGAAGACGAGATTACTAGATTACTTAAATCGGATAAAATATTTCACATCTTTCATCTCACATGAAAAATTATAAGATGATCTTGAAACAAGTATATGTATGTGTTCTAAGTTAATTTTAGTTCCTTTATTAAACAGTAGATCTAATCACTTATGCTGGTTTTTGATAAATAATTAGACAGCCATCACAACATAAATGATGTACAACATTACTTGGATTGGGTTTTGACTTGTCAACTCCCGTGTGATATCGTTATATTTCAATTGTGGCAAACAATGACACACGCTACCTTTGAATGGTTAGACTCGAAATTTTTTATTTTTATTTTTTTAAAGATAAATTATAAATATATCTTCTGGGATTTGATTAAAATATAAATTATTTTTTGTGATTTTGAAAATTACATTCCATCTCCTGAAGTTGCTAATTTTATAACAAACCGTTCATTTTATTAATAAATCATCAAGTCAATTAATAGTTTTTAATAATGTTTAATTTAGATAATTTTATAGGAGAGTAATTATGAATTTTATTTTTTTATTTAATTCTGTTAAATAAAAAATTTTAACAATGAGATATTTATAATTTTTCAAATCACATGAGACAATCTATATTTTAAGCAAATCTTAGAGATGTATTTGTAATTTACCATTCTTGTAAAAGACAACTTTTACTTTACTTTTCTATAAAATCGGGTGTATTTAAAAATAATTTCTTAATTCACGTGGACTATTTTTCATTCAAATTAACCAAAAATACATTATAAGCGGCTATGTTTCAAAATGACGAGGGATTATGTGCATATAATCCATACTATGTGGGACAGGAGGAAGACGATGGTAATTAGGCATTTGGTTTGGGGTATATTATATAAATATATTTTAAATCTTTTTATTTTTTTAAGTCACATCTGCTAAGGATAATGCATCAGATAATGAATGCATCACCCATGAATAAAGCAGTTGCATCATAATTACCTTATGTATGGTTGTAGGAGAATATTATATAATAACAAGATGTAGTTAGTTTGTTAGACAGTTAGGATTAGTTAGGTTATTATTACTAGTATTGAATAAATGTGTATATATACACTTGTAGAGAGATGATTTTGTTTCTAATCATTCACTGAAATACATTCTTCATGGTATCAGAGCATTGCTGAGTTATCCTGGCAATGGCTTCCTCTTCTCCTTCGTCTATCCTTTCCAATCTCACCATGCTAATCTCAATTATTAATTCTTTCATTATTGTCAAATTGGATAGCACAAATTTTATCATTTGGAAAAATCAAATGCAAAACATTCTTCGTGCAACTGATCTTCTCAAATTTGTTGATGGATCATATCATTGTCCACCAGATTTAGTTCGAAGTTCTTCGGGCTCTGAGATTCGTAATCCAAAGGCTGTACAATGAAGAGTGATAGATGCACATCTTCTGAGTTGTATTACTGCTACACTTTCACCAGCGATCTTCACTACTGTTCTTCATCTTCACACCAGTTCTAAGGTCTGGATGTTTCTTGAAAAACGTTTTACCTCTCTGTCTCGATCTCACATTCATCAACTCAAGAATAAGCTGAATTCGATTTCTAAAAATTCAAATTCCATGGAAGTTTATCTTAGCAATATTAAGACGATTGTTGATCAGCTGAATATTGCTTCTTCTTTTATTGATGATGAAGATATTGTGTTGATTACATTGAATAGATTGCCTACTGAATATGATTCGCTTAAAACGGTTGTTCGTGCTCAATAAGAGAGTATTACAATTAAGGATCTTTCTTCTCTTCTATGCTCCGAGACTATTTATGTTGAAGGGAAGTCCAACCATGCCTCTGATCTGACTGTAGCTTACGCAGCTATGAAAGATACTAATTCTTCTAAAGGTTTTACTTCTTATCATCATAATCGTGGCTTCTCTCGTGGTGATTCAAGAGAGTCCAAAAATACATATCGCGGAAATGCTCTTCACACCAGTTCTAAGGTCTGGATGTTTCTTGAAAAACGTTTTACCTCTCTGTCTCGATCTCACATTCATCAACTCAAGAATAAGCTGAATTCGATTTCTAAAAATTCAAATTCCATGGAAGTTTATCTTAGCAATATTAAGACGATTGTTGATCAGCTGAATATTGCTTCTTCTTTTATTGATGATGAAGATATTGTGTTGATTACATTGAATAGATTGCCTACTGAATATGATTCGCTTAAAACGGTTGTTCGTGCTCAATAAGAGAGTATTACAATTAAGGATCTTTCTTCTCTTCTATGCTCCGAGACTATTCATGTTGAAGGAAAGCCCAACCATGCCTCTGATCTGACTGTAGCTTACACAACTATGAAAGATACTAATTCTTCTAAAGGTTTTACTTCTTATCATCATAATCGTGGCTTCTCTCGTGGTGATTCAAGAGAGTCCAAAAATATATATCGCGGAAATGCATATCGTGGTTCTCGATCTGGTTCTAATAGATATTCCAGTTCTCGTAGCAGATCTCAATCTCACACCAGGTCTCAGTATGGCATCATTTGCCAAATCTGTGCAAAGGTCAATCATACAGCCATGGAGTGTTGGCATCGCCTTGATCCACAGTTTCATGCTCCCTCACAGACTTAGTCACAATCCTCCTTTGTTACACCTCATCAAGCATTTGTTGCATCTACACCAGATGTTGCTTCTTCTTCTCAGACTTCTTGTCCTTGGTTCTTGGATTCTGGAGCTTTGGATCATATAACCAATGATCTCCATCGTTTCAATTCTTATCAACCATATGATGGCACTAATCAAGTAATAATTGGAAATGGTACTTCTCTTCCCATTCATCACATTGGGAAAGGTATCTTGCCCACACCACACCATTCCTTTCGTCTTGATAAAGTTCTTCATGTTCCTTCCATTTCTTCTAACTTGCTTTCAGTGCATCAATTGGCCAAAGATAATAACTGCAATATTATATTCGATCACTCTTGTTTTGTCATTCAGGACAAGGCCTCTAAAGCTATTCTGCACAAAGGCTTGCATACTAATGGTTTATATCATTTTCCTGTACTACCTTCATCATCATCACCTCATGCTTTTCATCGCTACACCTCCTCCGATGCTGACACATCTATTGCTCCATCTGTTACTACCTGGCACATGCGTTTAGGCCATCCATCATTTTCATAAAGAAAGATTGATTTTGTATATTATTTCATCACACAAAGATTCATTTTACAGATCTGTATATATATAGGAATGCTATAACAAACTCACTAAACAAACTCTCTAACTAACTAACCATATTATCTAACTAACTAACCATACTAGTACAATTGCATTTTGCTGAATTGCTAATATAACAGTGGTATGACTTAATCAGCATCACAGTCCAATGCTGAGCTTATAAATGTGTTTGTGCTTCCTTGGAGTCCTCATCTGCCTCTTGTATCTTATCAGCCCCCCGCAAGCTGATGGGAGAAGGAAGAAGCATCAACTTGTCTTTGAGATAATGAAATCGAGAACCATACAATGGTTTGGTAAACAGATCAGCTAATTGATTAGATGTAGGAACATATTTGAGAAGAATTTGTTTGGAAACAACTCGCTCTCGAATGAAATGACAGTCTATTTCAATATGTTTAGACGGGGAAAAGAAAATTGGATTTGAAGCAAGAGCCATAGCAGATAAGTTGTCACACCATAAAACTGGAATAGAATAAGGAGGAACCAAAAAATCCTTAAGCAACTGCTGAAGCCAACTAACTTCAGCGGTAGTATTAGCTAAGGACCGGTATTCAGCCTTAGTGGATGAACGAGAGACCGTAGGCTGCTTTTTAGCAGACCAAGAGATCATATTTGGGCCTAAAAAGATACAGTACCCTGAGGTAGAACGTCTATCCAAAGTATCACCTGCCCAATTTGAGTTAGAAAAGGCATGAAGAGTGAAAGGACCGGGAGTGAAACTCAATCCATGAGAAACAATGCCTTTAACATAACGGATGAGACGTTTAACATGTTGGAAATGGGCATTGGTAGGAGCATGCATATGTTGGCATGCTTGATTAACAGCCAAAGACAAGTTAGGCCTAGTAATGGTAAGATATTGAAGACCTCCAACTAAACTGCGATACAGAGTAGGTTGAGTAAAATGAAGAGCATCTGAATGAGAGACATATGACTTCACAGCCAATGGTGTAGAACAAGGCTTGCAATCCACCATTCCAGCTTTAACAAGCAGATCAGTAGCATACTTTTGTTGACATAGAAAATAACCAGAATCTTGAGCAATGACATTGATGCCCAAAAAATAGGATAAAGACCCAAGTTCTTTCATAGAAAAGACCGAGTGCATCTGCTGAAGAAGCTGAGTGAGAATAGTAGAGTCACTACCAGTTAAAAGTATGTCATCAACATACGCAACCAGCAGAGTAAGACTGGTGGGAGTCTGTTTGACAAACAAGGAAGTATCTGACAGACTGTTATGAAACCCCTGTGAGAAAAGAAAAGTTGAGAAAGTGGAATACCAGGCTCGAGGAGCCTGTTTAAGGCCATAAAGAGCTTTCTTAAGTTTGCACACATGAGTAGGATAAAAAGGATCCACAAATCCCTGAGGGAGAATCATGAAAACTTCCTCTTCAAGTGAGCCATAAAGAAATGCATTTGAGATATCAAGCTGAGTAATGGGCCAGTTATTATGAAGAGCAATGCAAATAAAATGTGAATAGTAGGCTGCTTAGCAACGGGACTAAATTCTCATGAAAGTCTATCCCCTCCTATTGCAAATAACCTTTAGCCACAAGTCGGGCCTTGTACCTGGCAATACTACCATCAGAATGACGTTTAATGCGAAAGAGCCATTTACAGCCGATTGCCAATTTAGAAGAAGGCAAGGGAACAAGATTCCAGGTACCCTGAACTTGAAGAGCATCATACTCCTCTTGCATAGCTTTAATCCACACAGCAGATTGAAGAGCTTCTTTGACAGTACGAGGTTCAGAAGTGAGAAGCTGAGTAGAAAGACCAGAAACAGATGTAGCTTGAAAACACACAGTTTGGTTATAATTACCGTATGTATGGTTGTAGGAGAATATTATATAATAACAAGATGTAGTTAGTTTGTTAGACAGTTAGGATTAGTTAGGTTGTTATTACTAGTATTGAATAAATGTGTATATATACACTTGTACAGAGATGATTTTGTTTCTAATCATTCAATGAAATACATTCTTCAACATCATCTCTTACTTTTTAGTACATCTTTTGATAAAATGTTAAAAAATACATTTATTTAGATCTTACAAATTACATAAAGTTAAAAGTGATTATCTTTTGAGGGAGAAGAGTTCCAGAGAGAAAGAGACTCTCTAAGAGATTTTCGGTGGTGCTTCAGCGGTGTTCTAGCGACACTTTGACGACACCTTTACACTTTTAAAGTATAGATTTATACTCCTAGAATATAGACCTGCAGTTTTAGAGTGTAGATTTAAACTTTTAGTATCTAAAATAAGGGTTCTGAGAGTTTTCTCCTCTGATTTCGACATTGATTCTTGAATTTTCGACACCCATAATCGTTTCCCCTCTCTTAAACCTTCTTCCATACTGTTGTGGATGTACTTCATTGGTGGTGTCTGAAGTCCGATGACAAGAATGACGAGTTTTTCAGACCACATCTTTAAGAAGATTAGTGATTTTCCTTAAATCATAACTATTTTTTTTTTTTCCTGCTCCACCAATCACCCCCTGCCACGTGGCAAAGGGGGGTGAGGGGGTGACCCCCAAAAGGGGGTCCCAAGCATTATTCTATCATAAGATAGAGTTTTAAATTGGAGAGGTACTAGCCACTAGGTTAGATTTGGCAAGCCCGCTTCAAGATTTTCTTTTTAATAACTCGAGCGGTTAATTTTATAAAATTTATCAATTAAAAAGAGTTATTTAAAAAATTAAATTAATTGAATATTTATAATTAATTGATTGAAGTAATTTGTCTTTTTTTAATTATTTAAAAAAGATGATTTATTTTTAAAATTATATTTATCATTTAAGTTTAAAAGATAAATGTAATATAATTATATAACTATTGATATTTGATAAGTTTATTTTTTTAAAATAAATTACTTTTTAATAAATCCTATAATGAACGAATTACTAAAATGAGGCCAACAGTATCATACCCTTATAAACTATAAATAATAAATGAAAAAATAAAAAGCACATTTATTTATAAAACTCTCTCCATTTATTTACATTTTAGGAAAATTTACCCATAAGTTTTAGTTTTTGAAAAGTTGAACCATCTAGTCCTAAAAGTTTTTTTATGTTCCATTTAGTCCCATTTGCACATCAATCTAATGTTTGAAACATTAATCTGATGTTCGAAATCTAATGTTCGAAACATTAATCTGATGTTTGAAACATTATAATGGGACCTTTCAGTCTATAAGAAAATTTTTAAGACTAAACAGTGTATAAGTTATTAATTTGGGATTTATTGGTGCATCCCCCTATATTTTATTTAATTTAAATTATTTTTTTATATTCTAATAAGTCTTATGAATAACTTAATTATCAAAATATCTCTAATAATAAAAGAGTGAAGTGCGCATTAATATTTACATTGACAATATAAATGTTCCATAATATGAACATTCACACTGTCAATATAAATATTCATACTGTCATATTTATTTAATGTGAATGTTCATATCATAAAATATTTAAAATAGTCTAAAATAGTGTACACCAAGTTGTTAAGGGTTCAAAAAATATTTGTAAGAATAAAATTATCTATAAAATGTTTTAAATATGAGAGTTAGGATTTAGTGGATCAAATGTTCAAAATAATATGACTTAAGTGTATATAAAAGTATCTTATTAACTAATTTAAACTCCCGTTTGGCAAGAATTTTTTTAATTGACTTTTTGAAATTGAGATTTTTTTAACTTGTGATTAAAAAATTTGTTTGAATTTTTTTTTTTAACTTCTATAAGAGAAAATTTAAAATAATTATAATTTAAACGTAATATTTTAAATTATTAATTACTTTATTTTTTTTTCCGTATGATATTTTATATATATATATATATATATTTTTTTTTTGTAATCCCGGCCAACTGATCCTGACGAAGCCCTGGGTACAGGTACTTTGCCCAGAATTTTCTATAAATTCCCCAAAATAAAATGAATAAAAGCGGAGACTTCACAAAATGATAGGACCATCAGTTAAGGTTTGTTTGGACTGACGAAGCTCTACTCAAATCCAGCCACTTCTGCTCCGCAACTGCGAATTGGGTCACACAGCAACTATCAGCGGCATCACCGACCAGGTAATCCATCCCAAAACCTTCTTTTTTTCTTCATATCTCTAGATTCAAATGCAATTTTCCTCTTCCTTCCAACTTGTTTTCTTCATATTCATGAATACTCCGTCTGAGATCATTCGATTACTCTCTGATTTTTGTTATTTTCTCTTAAATCTTGATTATAATCAGAAATTTGCTTATGGGTATGTAATTATTCATATATTATATTGACAGTATGTTGGACAACTGCATAGGTGGCCTTGCTTGGTATCACTGTGTCTATGCATGTTAAGTGTTTGTGAATTGTCCTGAGAAAGACCCATATATGATTGTATATTGATGTCGGGTTTTAGTGGCTCAATATATGTATGTTGGGTTGTTATCACTGTTTCAATGCATGTTAAGTGTTTGTGAATTGCCCTGAAAAAAAACAAAAAAACATGCGCGGATTCGAGTCATTGAAACCACCTCTATTGTCCTGAAAAACTTTATATAATATTTTCTCAGGAAGATAGCTGGAAGTGTTCTTTTTCAAAAAAGAAAAGATTTGACAGTTGCTTGAAGCAGGAAATTTTGAGGGAATAAAAGCACAAATTTTCCAATGAATACAGCGGCAGTTTATGAGAAGTTCACTAAAGGTATCCCCCCCCCTAATATCATATTAAGTTATTGATCATATACCAATTTAGAAGTCAAGGGAAAAAAAAAAAAGAAAAAAGGAAAAAGGAAAAAAAACTAAGGAAGAAAATGTTCATGGTTCTTTGATAAATGGAGGCTAGAATCTTGTGGCTTTGTGACTTTTATGGTTGGAGACAAGACAACTGAGAAATTAGAAGAATTCCTGGTTGAAGACTAGGAGTAAGAAATTCTCAAACCTCTGAAAATTCAAAAATTGCTTTATCTGAGGATTGAATATCCCATTGATGATGGTGTTCTATCTTATGCCCTTGATCTTGAGAACAGATCTTTTACCGATTCATGAATATATGATAACAGATGTAACCAAGAATCGAGTGCCAAGGGTGTCAATTAAAATTATGATGTAAAAAGGAAAAATCAACTCGAAGTTACAATATTGTTCACATCAATATTTTTGTGACTATTCTTTTCTAAAACCTGTTCACCTTATAACCTGGATCAACTGATGATTGTTTAGCTGTTGGGACCACAAAACCTACCGATGAAAGATAACAGTTGAGTCCTCACCCAAATTGTGAACTTTCTAAGTTATGTTAGCCATAATGTCATTTATTTACCTTAAGGACAATCAGATGCCTTTTTTTTTTTTTTATTTAAAATATTTTTTTTTTTTTTTTTAATTTAAAATTCTCTTGATCTCTTTTCAAACGAACTGCCTTTTTGTATCTTTGTCCATCTGCTTGTTAATTGGCTGATTATATGTCAAAAAGCTTTTAGTTAATTAGTCTCTTTTTTTTTTTGGAAGGTTATTGGGGTCCCTTGAAATGGTGGGTTGTATAATGTAAACTTGTTTTGCACTCTGCATATTTTGCAGCAAAACCTCTTTCTTATGAATGAAGCTGTAAAATCCATTCATGCAGCCCAGCAGGAAAACTAAGAAAGACTTGTGAAAATGGCAAGCTATTTGTGGAGGAAATATGCAGATTATGTGTACTCAAAGTGGGAAAAAACTATTCTTTGGGACATGGTTGACCCATACAGGAGACCCAAATCTTTCACTCCTCTTGTCACGATCTATATCCTTGCTTTCTATACTGGGGTCATTGGGTCCGCTATCACAGAGCAACTCTACAAGGTAACCATTTAATCTCAATCTTTTGACATCAGTTTCATCGAATGTGCTAGTGGTGATGTTAATCCTCAATGGCTTAGGTCTTTAAGTACTTTACTGTTATGGTTATTTGAATCTATAAAATTATACTAGAAATGATTGATGATCTCACTGATAAAGAAAGCCTTAGAGTCAATTTGAGACTTACTCTCTCTGATTGCTACAAGACAGCATGGGGGACTTTGCAGGTAAGACAAATGCTAAGTTGAGTTAAGGAGACGAAAAAATTGCACTCTTTTTTTGGGCTTTTATTGTTTCTCATTTTGGAGGCATGGACACAAGAATTGGACACTCATATATTGCACGAACTCATTATACTTGTGTGTGGCATTAATGCTCTGAGGGCAGCTGCATATTTCTTTAAATCGCACTGCTCAGCTTTGTTCGCCACTTGCTGTAAAGTAATCCTTGTAAAACCCGTCTAAATCTTCCATGCTTAAATCGTTAATTCCAGCTCTAACTTTGGCTGTCTTATCATATTTTCCCTTGAGATTATCATGGATGACTCATACTCTGCACTGGCTATGTTACTTAGAACGCAAATCGTTCTTCAAATTAATCGTTCAACAACACAATTTTATGAAGCAATGTATGACCCATTGTTTTAAATTTTGTCAATCCAAAACTTCACCTAGATTTTAGATTATTATATTTGACATTTTCTCTATTAAGAACTTTTAACGAAGTACAAAAAAATAAAAAATAAAATCACTTAATTTACCGTGTTGGAATGAAAGTGTAACATATATCGGAGTGTGCGCTCCAAAACTTTAGGGTGTTAGTGTTTTTTGGTAACATTGGATTGGAACATGGTTTAATTTGATTTAGAACAAGACACATAGGAAATCTGTTTCCATTTATCTGAAAGTCAATTGTGGGTGGTCATTAATTTCAAGGGCATATAGAAACTTTTTTTTTTTTTATCATTGTTTATTTCTCTATTTTTTGTCAACTGCACTATTCATACTAGGATTCATGTCCATAAGGTCCATGCTGGCTGTTAGGCTACTTGACAAACAACCCTCCTTATTCGGGCTTGGGACTGGCTGCACTAACATTCGTAAATTGTGCCATGTGATATTGTGCAGGAGAAGTACTGGGAAGATCACCCCGGCCACGTAGTGCCTTTAATGAAACCAAAGTTCTATTATGGCCCTTGGAAGATACTGAAAGGGGAGGCTCTCCCACCTGACCAGTGAAATATGCAAGCGACCTGTTGAACACAATTGTCAGTGCTCTTCTATCTTAATTTACTGTAGTTTAAAGATGAATATTGGGCGATTTTTTAAACAAAAACAAGTTCTGGTATTTTGCTCTTGTATTGACATGCTTCGTTGTTAATCAGAATTGGTTTAAACAGTTGTGATTATCTTTCCCATGTGTGATCATTAATATAGTGCAAGATTTGCTGTCATGAATGCTAATTTGATGTGTGGTCTTCCACCATGAATATTTTATATTTATCATGTCTAATTATTCTTATGCTAAAAAAATAGTACAAGATATAATTTTCTCTTATGATTCAAGTTTTCGATGCTAAAAAATATAGTTACAATTTTAGAAAATATGACGTTTCTTGCCAGCTGTCCAGGCTATATATATAATAGTGTTCTCATTGTGAACTACGTACTCCTTACATAATGTAGAACTCAATGTTACCATATGATGAATTGGCAGATGAGTGAGATATTTTATAAATTTCATGCTTCAATTTTGAATTTTCACTTCTAGTTTTCCTTGAAAGTGATGGCAGAGAGTTGAAAATATTACATTTTTGCATCTGTTGTGCTGAGAATTAACTCCCTTTCCCTATTCCGCTCCTACTGATTGTAAAAATTAAATTTAAAAAAGAAAAGAAAAGAAAAGAAAATTCCCTACTTGGACCTGTAAATGATGGAAGAATGAGAACTAAATGGTTGTGTAGCAAAATCATATAGAAATCAATTTTAAGATCTACCCAAATCGTTTTTAGATAATTTTTACCATTCAATTCTCAGGAAAGGCTAAAAAAAAAAATTTGATGTCCCATGAGATATGATGGTTTCATGTTCCATCCTTTACCTGAGTAGAGCATTTAAACTTGAAAGGGTAGTAAGCAGCCATTGGAGAACTTATTGAGGTTACCCAATTTTGGCTTTTATTTATTTATTTATTTTTTGACTTGTTGAAATTTTCATTTTCTATTTAATGGCTTCCATTTTGTATGTATCTTTGTTACACTACTCTTCCCAGAAAAATTGCTTAAGAAGCTGCTTATAATTTATTTTTCTTCTTTGGAAAATTTGTGGTAGATTTGTGTTTAGATCATGGATTTGGATAAAGAAAAGAAAAAGGTAGGTGAAATGTAAATAAAATATAATTATTTCACATATATACATACATACATATATATATATATAATTTTTATCCAAATTCATGATCTAAATATAGCCTTAGGAGGCTGCTTCACATCCCTTCATCCAATATGAAGTTCACATTTGTGAAATGATCTGTAATTGAGGAAAACCAGAACCCTTTTCATACTAATTTTTAACCAGAAAAGCAACAATTTTTCTTTGTACAATTGAAACAACAATGTTAGGAATGTATAAACTAAACACAGGATCACAAAACACAAATTATATAAATTTGACAAAAAAAATTTACAAGATTTTCTCTAAAGATTAGTCGGGTTTTTGATTCAAACACCTTAGTGTCAATAAAAATAAAAATAAAAATACAAGATCTATTGGCGGAGTCCAATTTTTAAAATTCTATCCTTTCATTTGTTTTCTGTGTTCAACAAACATCACATCCACTGCTGAATAAACTTGACTTGATCTTAACTGTGTCAATAATAGTATACAAACGGGAATATGGTATCCAAAATGAAGTGCCTTACCGTAATAATTTCAGTTAAAAATACAAAATCTTTCATTATAAATATAATTTATAAATTTGTCACTGTCATATCATTTTATGTATAAAAATTATGAGTTTTCCAACTTAACAATAAACTCAAGCATTTACCAACACTTTCGAACTAATTAGTGCTAGCCACTAGTGCTATGATAATCTAGAAAGACCAAAAGCAGAAAGCACAGTTATTAATAATGTTAAATTGAACCTTTTGGTGAGAATATTCAACTCCAAAGTGGTGCTTTTTACCAACTAAATTAAATTAAAGTGGCTAAAAAGTTTTATTCAAAAATTTGGAGTATTGGAGTTCCATCCCAGAATCCTCTACCACCACCAACCAATCATAGTGCAGCCATTACGTAGAGCACTATGATAAAACATTGTCAATCATATTAGAAGGTTTTAGGGTCGTTTGGCAACGACTTTTTTAGTTGATTTTTTAATTTTTTTGACTTTTTAATCTGTGACTTTTTATTTGTTTGGTTTTTTTATTTGGTTTTGGAATGACAAATTTTTTTTGTCCTTTTGTAATTTCTGACTTACTGATTTTTTTTTGTTCTTTTGTAATTTTTTAGCCTAGAAAGAAAACCAAACCGGGGCTTAATAGACTCTTTAAATATTTATTAGTATCTGTTATTAGTATCACAATTAGCAAATTAATTTTATTTTTTTGTCTCCAATTACTGTGTTAACATTGTTGTTAGTTTTGTCGGTAATTAAGATAGTTGTTAATGCAGTAGGTAAAAGTGAGATAAAGCCGAGAGAGAGGGACCGCACAAGGTCCTATGTGCACTTCTTGTCTGTTTATTTTTTCAATGTTGTACTCATTTAACACGCATTTTAACAATATTATTGAATCCCTCATTAAATTAACAAACACTAAAAACACAAAGTTAAGTCATTTTTATCACTTTTCATCTGTTGACAAACACTTTAATTACCCTAATGAAGATGCACTTAATCATGCTTGCTTTCACACGTCTCCACCACAAAAGCTAACTAAAAAGATAGCTGGCCTGAAATTACCTTTATTTCACACAGTGATAACATACATACATGACGAAAAATGTGTAAAACCTTAAAAAGAGCATGAATAGTTACAACTTTGAATCATGTTGCAAGTTAAACCTAATAGGGGACTGATTGTAAACTCGGATATCTTATATGAAAAATGCTTGGGAGCACTAATTAGTGCTCCGCATTTTAACAATATTATTGAATCCCTCATTAAATTAACAAACACTAAAAACACAAAGTTAAGTCATTTTTATCACTTTTCATCTGTTGACAAACACTTTAATTACCCTAATGAAGATGCACTTAATCATGCTTGCTTTCACATGTCTCTACCACAAAAGCTAACTAAAAAGATAGCTGGCCTGAAATTACCTTTATTTCACACAGTGATAGCATACATACATGATGAAAAATGTGTAAAACCTTAAAAGAGCATGAATAGTTACAACTTCGAATCATGTTGCAAGTTAAACCTAATAGGGGACTGATTGTAAACTCGGATATCTTTTATTCAACTCTCTCGGACAACACCCTGACATACCAACTACTTATGATTTGTGGGTAATTGTAGATATTTTTGGGTATATCTTACAAGACTCAGTCCAAAATGACCTTGCCTTAAAAGGATCTCTTTTTATTTAAAAAGAAAGAGAAAAAAGAGTTAAAAAAGAATTGAAACCTAACAATGAATTTAGATCAGGAACTGTCATACATACCCCTCAAGGACAAAGCATCGTCCCTCTCTCCTTAAGGGGTAGTGGTCTCTTATGATATGCTCTACACTCTTCTATTGTGTACTGCACGTTTGATGTGTATGAGCGCACCAAAGGACAAAACTGTGAGGACCAATAGTGATCCCAAAGCGAGCAATACTATGCAGGTGGGTTCACAAAGCTTTTTTTCCTTTTACAAGCAATAATTTAGTCTGTGATTGTTGGGTGTTCATGAGTTGGCCTACACAGGAAATTGTTTGAGACAAAATCATCGTCTGTAAATCCAATCCTAACTGCATACATATCCAAGGTCAATGCTTGAAAAAGACGCTGTAAATTAAGCTCAAAAGATAATAGGATATGAGAAAGAAAATTACTATTACATTTGAAATAATAAAAGACAACACGTTTAGAACATGAATTTTAATTTTTACATGTTTACATGAGGTCTCTGTTTCTTGTGTAGCTACTTGTTTTGTACTTGTCATCACAAAAAATTCAAAGCTAGACTTAAATACTATAGTAAATTAGTCATTGATTCAGAAGGAATAGGGACAATATCATTTATTTATTTCATTGAATTCATCCATTCATATCAATATTCATATATCAGCACATGAACAATTTGCCAAAACATTCAACAACAAATGGTTTCTTGTTTTATTCACATCCAATTGATGAAGTCCTTGTAAATTAGTAATAGATTCAAATGGAATAGAGACAATATCATTCATTCATTGAACTCAATCATTCACATCAGTCTTTATATATCACCATATGATCAATTTGCCAAAGCAATTCAACAACAAATGGTTCTTGTTTTACTCACATCCATTTATTTGATCAAGGCCTTCTAAATTTAGAGACAACATCACTCATTTATTCATTGAATTCAATCATTATATCACAACATGAACAATTTGCCAAAACAATTCCAAAAACACAAATGGTTCTGTTTCTGTTTCTACTCACATCCATTTGAAGAATTCCTTCACCCATTTGAATCCGAAACACAATGAACCACCAGAAACTCGCATTTAGGCGAAATCAGCTTCAAAAACAGCCTTGCAGTGTGCTCTTGCATCACCGTGGCCCCTTGTCTCTCCACCAACACTCCCCCCACAATCCTATCATACCCACCACCACCTCCCTCCGCCACATAAGCCACCACCGCCGCCTGAACCGGCCCCAAACTCGGATTATACGCCGCCGACTCCATATAAGACCCTCTGTAAATCTTCCCTTTACAGTCCATCAGTGCCACCCCAGATGGGCACCCACTGTACGGAGCATGAGAATTATTCGCAGCTCGCAAAGCCTCAACTTCCAGTTCTCCCAATTGAAACCCATTTTGGGTACAAGATTCACGATTTCCGTTGCATAAATTGGAACAATTGGAGTTTTTGGGATTCGAAATCGACAATCCATTGTCATGAGGCTCGAGAATGAGAGGCGTTTGGTTATCGAGAAGATCAAAAGGGCCAAATGGGTTAGATAAGAATGAAGACAAGGGTTTGAAATTGGAGGGTTTGTGTTGTCCTTGTTCGTCGGATGTGATGAAGATTTGGAGGTCGGAGGCGTGGCGGAGCTCCTGCAGGAACTGGCGGCAATGGCCGCAGGGGGCGGCGGAGACGGCGAGGGCGAGTAGGCGGGGGCTGCCGTGTACGACGAGGTTGGTGACCAGAAATTGCTCGGCGTGGACGGAGTGGTGGAGGGGGAGACCAGGGAACTCAAGGTTGACGCCGACGAAGATCCGACCGTCGGATCCTAATCCGACGGCGCCGACGTGGTAGTTGGAGATAGGAGGGCGAGCTAGGGTTTGAGCTGATTTGACGAGGGTAGGGAGGAGTTGGAGGAGAGAGAGGCCTGAGTTAGTCGCCATTGATGAGGCCTCTGATGCTTCAATCACAAATCTGGGTCCATCCATTTTGGTGAATCAATGGTGATATATGTGTGTGTGTGTGTGTGTGTGGATATATGTATGTAGATTGGTCTTCCTCTGTGAATATGGGAAGGAGAGAAGATGGGGGTGGGAATGGTGACTGGTTTGATTTGAGAGAGAGAGAGAGAGAGAGAGAGATTCGGAGGGGAGAGGGGAAGGAGAGGTGGAGGGAATGGAGGTACATATAAAGGGGCTGTTTGGAAGTTTTTTAGATTTTTTTAATTTTTTTTAAGGTAGTATATTTTTGGATAAATTATACTGACGCTGTTGAAATTTTTATTTAATACAGATTTTTCTTTTATATTTAAAAAAATACAGTTAGTCCTATTAAATTAAAATAACTTATTTATCCCTTAACATTTATACATATAATATAATAAAATAATGTACATATTTTATTCATTTCATTTCAAGTGAATAACAATTAATTTTCTTTAGTTTAACTCTCACAAAAAATTGATTTTTTTTCCCTTTTTTTTGCTAATTTTTTTTAATATTTTAAGCATTTTATTTTATTTTATTTTTTAGATACACCTAATCTAGATATATTTAAAAAGTACAATATTTTGTGATGTTTTTGTAATTCATTAAATACAAAAAATATAAAAATTCAATACATTATCTTATTTTGTTGTATTCAATAGATTTTTTTTAAAATTTTTTTTGTACAATTTAATACTTTTTAAATAAAATATATTATCTTATTTTGTTGTATTTAATAGATTTTTTTTTAAAAATTTTTTGTACAAATTTAATACTTTTTAAATAAATCTAGATTAAATTAATCTATTCTAAATATAATAGTGAGAATAAAAATGAAAAATTATATTCATATATAAAAATGTATACAAAAATATCATAAAAATGTTATGATAGTGATATTGTTATAAATATAAATCATGTTTATAGATGTTTTGTTTTAAAGTGAAAGGTCACCATTAAACTATATTATTGTGCTTGAAAATTTCTATATATAATTTATATTTGTATATTATCACTCAATAAAAATATGTTCAGATAGAATTTAATAATGGAAAGTTATAAAATATAGTTATGATGATAGAAAGAAGAAATAGTAAGAAAAAAACAAGATAGTCATTTAAAAATTTTTATGGTATGCCATCGCCAATTTAGAAGTTAATTTGTAATGAGATTACAAATTTTTAAGAACGAAATATAATTTTTTAAATATGAAAAAAATCTGTATTAAATAAAAATTTTAAGGGTGTCAAGGTCATTTATCCTAATTTTTATTTTATTTTATTTAATTAAAAGTACATTTTGTTGATGACAATGCCAATTCGGCTATCCCATTTGGCTAGACTTTGACCAGTGGATTTACATCTCAACCGTGGCGACCTTAAAAATAGATAAAGTCACGCCAGTTTAAGATCTTATTTAGGGGTGGTTTGGGATGATCTTTTTTTTCTCTCACAACTAAAAAATAATAATTAACTTTCTAAATACAATTTTTTTAGTCAGGTAAAAATAGCCAAAAAGTTAAAGTTAAAGTTAACTAAAATAGTCAGCTTTCTAAACAACGCCTAAGTTTTACAAATTTTATATAAAAAATAATTTTAAAATTGAAAAAGATTCACTTTGTTTGATTTTAAATTTTCAAAAACAGTTGAAGTTTTTTATTTTTTGTATTTTGTTGTCTATAGAAAAAAAAAATCATATTTTAGTCATTTTTTTAAATGCACCTAATCTAAATGTATAAAAAATATTTGTAAAAAAAATCTTAAAAAATTCAACAAATACAAAAAATAAAAATATATATACCGAAATTTTCTATTTAGTGAATTTTATAAATATTTTACTTTTTAAACATTATCTAGATTAAGTAGATCTAAAAATAATAATAATAATTAAAATTTAAAAATTTCACTAAAAACAAAAAAATAAAAATAAATACTCAAAATCTATTTTAACAATAATTAGCCAAACAGAATGATTAGAACTTAATAAATCTCTAATGGGTATAGATCCATACTTCATGGGATCCCTCAATTTTTTAATGAAATTAAACTATACTAAATAAAATAGTAATAATATAAATAAATAAAATTTGCAGATTTTTGATGGCATGATGGGGTCCTAGGACACCATTGTCTCGCATGTGGAGCCGCCCTATATCTTAAAACAACAATGATTCATCCCCTTTGACCCTCTCTCTCTCTCATTAGTTACATTTTCTTTTTCTTTTTCTTTTTTTTCTGCTCCTCCAATCACCACCCGCCACATGGCAAAGGGGGGTGAGGGGTGACCCCCAAAAGGGGGTCCCAAACATTATTCATCTTAAAAAGTTGGTCATTTGGGATCCGTTTGGGAAGGGTTAATTTGGCTATTTTAGTCATAAAAGATAAAATAAATTATTTTAGTCATAAAAAATAAAATATCACATCAAATCCATAATTATTACACTCTTCTCTCACAAAAAAGTCAAAAAAATTAAAAAACCAAAAAGTCCTTACCAAACCAAACTTTTTAACCCAGGCTAAAATAGTAAAAAAAGTCAAAAAATCAAAAAGCCAACTCACTTCCCAAATCAGAGACTGTTTTTGTTTAATGGACCAATTTTAGGATTGAGTTTGGTAATTCGAATTGTTTATTTTTTACAATTTATTGAGTATAATATTTAGGTAAAATATTATGATCTATGTTTGAATCATATTTATTTATTTATTTATTTATTTTTAAATGATGATGTTTATAATTTCAAGAATAGTCATTTAGTTTTTGTAATATAAATGTAATTCAAATATACTTACTGATGTTTGATCATCTTGATTTTTTTAATAAATATTCTTTTTATCAAATTCTAAAAAATGAATAATTTAGATTACCGAGATTAGTCCCAAATTAGGGCCATCAAGCCCAAACCAAACTCAAACGCTTTCTCAAATTAAGATGGTAGAATTTCAAATAATGGCAACTAATTAACTTGTTTCTCATCAAATCTCACATATATATTGAGAGGGTGATTTATGATCTGGAATTGGGCCGAGGTAACGGCTGAGCAGGTTGAGAACTCAACGGTGCGTGGAGCCGAGATGATCGACTATCCGCCCGGAGATGGGCTGCCAGAACTTGGGCCGGACAGAAATTGGGCCAAGTGTGTGCCGCCCCAGACCGTAAAGAAGCTGCTCGGCAAGGCAGTGCTCGGTTGGACCGAGCTGCTTGATCAGGGGATGGTTGAAGCCAGACAAGCTCAGTGACCGGCGCCCGGAAATGCGTGGTCAGCCGAGGTAACCGTTTGATCAGCAGGAGGGCCGGCCACAGGAGGTGCCCCGGGCTCGGCTTTGCCGAGATGCCGCCTAGCCTGGTCCTCCCTGGGCCTAGCCAGTGAAGTGCTTGGGTATGAAGCACAGCACGGCCGTGGATAGAGAAGCTCGGCTGCCGAGCTCCAACTGAGAGGGCAGGCAGTTGGGATTAGGTGACGTTCAGCAAGGTTTATGCTGACAGATGGGATAGCAGAGTCACGTGTCGGGAGATGGCTGGGAGTGGATATGAGGCGCAGAGGGTATATAAGCATGTCTGCGCCCCCCATACTAAGGGGCGTACACTTTGTAAGGAAATTCTTACACTCAAACACTCCTCTCTCTCTCTCTCTCTCTCCTAAGGTGTGTGCTAACTTGATCGTCGGAGGGTTTTTCCGGCTGCACACCGCCTGGTAGCTCACCGTTATTTGCTCGCAGGTGATCGGACATAAACGGAGCTCGAAAGAAAGGAGTACGGGCTTGCCGAAATATTTGCTCCCCGTACATATATATATATATATATATTTGTGAGAAATGAAATAGGCTTAATAAGAGATTTCTTTTTAGAGAGCGTTTTTTTTTTTTTCAAGTTTAAATCTCAAGTTAAGAGAACTTGAGGGACTTATGAGACTCACCAAAATCTTGTTTTTTATGAACCAAATAGTTCATTTTATAAGACTCTCAATGTACAATTCACACAAAAAATTAGATAGATCTAATAATTGTAAGTTATTTATTTTATTGCATTTGTTTATAAAAAATGGAACATATATGTTTTTGAAAATAAACCATTTATTTTTTTTAGACAAAAATAATAAAATTAAAAAGTTATGATTATTAAATCGATCTAATTTTTTTTATTAATGATATACGTGGATGGACCTATAATATGAATTTTTTGGATCATTAAAATAGGACCTATAGTCGATCCCACGGGCCACTCAAGTTCACGCAAGTTTATATTTGAACTTCAGAGAAAACTAAGACCCGTTTTGTTTACTTTTCAAATCACAATTTGATAGTCCAAAACCCAAAAACCTATTTGGTTTTGAGTTTTCAAAAATATATTCAACTCAATCATTTGAAAACTCTTGTCGAAACTTAAAACAAGTTTTAAATTTGACCTGGTTTGGTTTGTGTTTTGAGATGTTATTTTAAAAATAATTTTATGGAGAGAGTTTAAAAATTTTAAAAATTTGTTTGATCTTATATTTTGAAAATAGTTTTGTTAGAGTTTGAGATGGTTTGATTTTTTTTTTTTTTTGTAGTTAAATAAATGAGTGTGAGAGAAAAAATGATTAAAAAAGATAGAGGAGAGAGAAAAAGTGATTGATTGATATATACGTAGTGAAAAAAAAAAGTGATTTTGAATTTTTTTTTCTAAGTAGTGGCTAAATAATTTGTTATGTTTTAAATATATATGGGCAATTCAAAAAATCAACGTAAATATATTCATATGAAAATCTACCCTCTAAGTTATATAAGATCTATTTACAAAGTATTACGTTTGTAAAAGAAGTAAACAAAATAAAAATAAAAATATATAATGATAAAAAATAAAAATAAAATTAAAATTGACTATAATATTGTAAATTTTTTGACTACATATGTAAAAGAAGTAAACAAAATCGACTATAATATTATAAAAAGTTTTGACTACAAGACAAGAAAAATACAAGACCCAAAAAAAAACTAATTTGAAAACTCCTAATTAAACAAGTTTTCAATTTACAAATTTCTAAAAATTACTTTCAAAATATATGTCTTAAAAATTAATTTCAAAACTCATAACCAAACAAGTTTTAAATTTTTAAAACTTTTTTCAAAAACTTATCTTCTAAAATGAATTTTAAAACTAAATGAAACTGACATTTTTTTCCCTTCATCTCTTCTCACGCATA